CATTGAAGTTAATTTATTATCTAGTGCTGAGTGGATACAGTAAAATGCCTCTCAATTCTTGAGGAGTATGCTGATCATGTATAATTTTCTTTTTGTATTAATTGGTGTTAATGATCTAGGGGCTCAGAAGGTCCAATTTGGTCAAAAATTAGATTTGTAGTCCATTTTCTCTCCCAGTTTACTGAGCCCCCCCCCCCCCCCCCTTTTTTTTTTAATCTTGGCTGATAGATTAAATTTGGTGGACTCTGTTGATTTCATTAACACCATTGTAGACTTTATGTAATTAAGCCTTGACATATGGTATGACCACTTGTTTATCATTAAATGCTATATTTTGACCTTTAAACATGATTAACAAGAGATATAGGACATAGACCAATGAGACAGTAACCCTACATTAAGAAATCTAGAGGTCAACCAATGGTCAATCTCTAAATCATCCTTAGTTGTGAATAAATTTAAATGAGACTACTGATTCAGAACTTCTTCCATCAATACCAGAATTCTTTAAAGGACAAAAAAACATTATAAGAGATAAAAGACAGAGACAAAGTTCCTGAGACAGACACCTTATAATAGCTTGTGACAGGTAAAACAAGTATTTGAGAACTCAACATTCACACTTGTAATCATGATCAAAACATCTGGTTTTATAATGTTGTTGGGTTCCCTTCTCATTGAGTTTGACCTTACTGACCATATCATATCTAAATAACAGCATCATCTATAGTCATGCAGGTCTTGAACAATACCCTGAATAAAGCACTTTCTCATAGACCTTTCTTGTTTCAAGACAAACTGATTATAAGTTGCTAAATTTCCAGTAATAAGCATGTCTTACTTAAAATTGTTAGCTGAAAATAAAAATCATGCTCTAAACTTAGGCTTAAATAAAGAGGACTTTGAATTCTGCAGCTGCACCCTTTACCTTAAAGCTATTGAAATTTAAAAACAAATGGTCCAAAAAACCGATGTTTCATACTTTATGCATTCTCACTTACATTATTAATTGTAATTTATCAAGTCAACAAGATTAAGGCTTTGTTTTAAAAGTTGATCCCAAAGTTCAGACTAATTTATATAAGACTTGTTTCTCCTCTCTTTAACAGCCTAGTGAAGCACATGAAGAGTATAAATTTCATTTTGTGAAACATTTCAAGCTACATGCAGTTCAGACAATTATGATCTCACTGTCAAAGTATTCAAAAACCGAAGACAAGTTAACTTCAACACTTGAACGTTCGTTAAAGGGTATCTTAACATTTAAGATATTGATTCATTAAATTTCTTAAAATTAGTCAAACATACATACAAAAGATTTTTTTAGGACTCAAATTTTAACAATAAATCTTTAATTAGGAACACAGATTTGTCTATCATTTGTAAATTAGACTTAAAATGTTTACACCCAAAATAAAAGTTGGCCAGCATTCAATCAATTGACGTCTGAAAATGATGTGTTTTGTTATTATCTGTTTTTAGTATTATAGGTGAAGATTTCACACAAATTTAGCATCCAAAATTTTAGTAAAGCAGTCTGAGTATTACATAGATGAATATATATTTGACAGGTTTTAATTTTTAGTACAATTTGTAATTCGAATTTTCAAGTCAAGAATTTCAACAAGATGTGGAGAAATCTATCATGGCAAAGCAAAGGTTAGGCTACCAGTCTTATAAAAATATAATAACCTTTAACTATATATCTATATAAACAATTTATGTAATAACCTCTAAAAAGCTGATATTAACAAAAGTAAACTTTTCTCTCTGACATTTTTAACTTTATCATAACATATTGAACATGATATGTCATGGCTTATTGAAAGTAATATTTTCCAACAATTTTTAGCAAAAATGTTTGTTATATCAATTAAAATGAAATATTAGATGCATCTTTAAAAAGAATTGCTGATGCAAGCTAGGTTCATTCTTTACTTTAAGCTTATCTGTCAATGAATATATCATTTGTAAAGAAATGTTTAATAAAATGTAATAAGAATTCAGAATGCTTACCATGATACAGAAATCAATCACGTGTATGTCCATTTCAATAGAGGATACCACAGACTAATCACAAGATATCAGATTTTCTTACAACTAAACTGACAAGAATTCAAAAATTATATTCTATTCTGCACACTCGGTTTAAAGTGACTGTCAAAAACTTCTTCTTCATCTGACCATTCAAAAACAAAATTTATATGTTTTCAGAGACTGACTTTTCCTTTAAAGAGTTTCCCATTCAAATGTTAAAAAGGTCAGAATACATTTAAGGAGCTGTAAAAGTTCACTGATGTCATCGTCTCATTGAACATCAACATATCTGATACTATAAAATAAAATTGAGAATGGAAATAGGGAATATGTCAAAGAGACAACAACCTGACCAAAGAGCAGACAACAGCTGAAGGCCACCAATGGATCTTCAACGCAGCGAGAAAATCCCGCACCCGGAGGTGGTCCTCAGCTGGCCCCTAAATAAAATTGTGTACTAGTTCAGTGAAAATAAGTAGAGTTATCCCCCTTGTTCAAATATTCCAGACAAGCTAGCTTTTGTTCAGGTCAACCAATGATATGTACATGTATGTATATTTACCTGTAGCATTGTTGAAATTGGATACCTCTCAAATCTTGTTATGAACAGACAAATGACTTTTCAACATGCAAATGATTAGTTCCAAGGTAAAACTAAACCAAGTGCTATCAACATAAAAATTATTTTCCTGATTGAAATCATCAGAGAAACTGTTATTTTATTTACTGATATTGATGAGGTGCAATAGACAAACAATGATAACATGAAATGTCAAGTATTTCTAAATGTTTTACAATAAATAACTGATTGAAATAAAACAGAAAGGAGAAAATTAATGTAACTGATACTGTAAATTGTGAAGCTATCAAACTTTTTTTCCAACCAATAGTTTTCTTATTTAGCTCAACTAATGTATCTCTACACACTCGAATAAATAGGCATCCTGTTTACATTAAGTTAAATGTTGAATTGGCTTTTTTTTTTTAAATTCACAAAAAATCAAGAAGTAGTTTCCCAGTATTGACATGATACTCCTCATATTTCACATTTAGTAATTTAAAATAAAACAACTTTTTACTATGGAATCATTTCCAAATAAAAGAAACAATTTCAAATTTTGCCACCAAAACATAACAACTTTGTAGACGTAAAGATTTCACCTTACTAACTTTGATGTGTCCCATGTTTTAATACCTGGACTTTTAAGTGTTTCATATTTTGCCACAAAGCTGTAATTTTAGACTGTTGACAGAGGGATAACCAAGATAAAGATTACTTGCTTCATCTTCTGATAATCCTATTTTGGATAATCCTTAAATGTCATTTGATTCAGTCTATCTAAATTAACCTTCAATGCTCTGTTTTAATATCAGTTAGAGTTTTTTCCATTCTTATATCTCAAGCTTACAAAGATGTCGTTAAATGAAATTGGATGCCCTGCATTGATCATGCTTTTCAATAACATATGGTCACATAGCTGAAAGGCCCCCTCCTAAATTATTGAAAACTATCATTCTGCATTGACAAAAATATCATGGGGTAAATTAGATACACCATATCAAGCTAATGCCCTCATAGGCGTATCTAATACTTACTACAATAATGTTTCCATATCTGACAGACCTAAAATTTCTGTCCCAGATCCCTAAATCTTTCAAGTTATAGATTAAGGAAGGATTTCAGAGGGTCATATACTCTGGAATGACAGAATATATTTTACACAAAAATAACTACATGGAAAGACAGTAAGCACAGTGAGTTTTCTGTTTATCTCCACATCTAAAACCTGAGATGAAGTTCTAATCTGCCATGCTCATCATCCTTTCTTGTTATTGCTATTTATGTACTTCGGAAATATTTTCTTTTGAAGTCCCCCTCTGTTGACAGAATCAGCATAGATATACATAAAGGGGGATCAAAAGGAAGTCTTATCAGTACATGTGTGCACTTTGTAGTTTGAGGAAATATTTTTGGTTCATTGCTTTTGAATTCCTGGATTTAGACTTGAATGAAATCAATGAAAATATATCATATGATCTTGTTTCTGTTTCATGAATAATCTTTAACATTATGATAGATGTAATAACTTTAAGAAAACTCAGATTGAAAAGTTTTTGATAGAGTATGTTCTTGATTTGTTGACAGAAATAAGAATTATATGAGTGCTACCAGTAGGTTGAAAGCCATCAACCCAATGCATAGTTATGGTGGGTAGTAACATTCATGTTTTGTTTAATCTAGCCATGAAATTCAAGAAAATTGTCACTATAGCAATAAAATAGTATATTATAATATATCTTTTACAACATTATAATGAAATGTACCATTAAGGTTTAGCAATCCAACTAAAGAAAGACTTATTACATATTTCAGTATTCAGTTACATAGAACAGTCATGATAGTAACTGTTGTTAAGTATAAACCATACCATCTAATTTCATGTTCAGACATCTGTAATGTTATAGATATTCTATCTTCTCAAATATTGCAAAACTATATCCACCATTGGCAATTTATACACCAGCAAAAATATTCAAAAACATACCAAAAGATTCAATTTTAGAGAAATATTTAGCAAATTTTAGTCCCCATCACATTAAAAATATTTTCCAAAAAAGTTACTTACCATATATAACCATGATAACTTAAGTTACTTAATTTGTGAATAACCCCTTGTCCATTCTTGTAATATAACCTCTTTACTGAGATTCCATTTTTCGTGTCATTGATATCCTGCTTTTGCGGTGGAAAATCAACTCATGTAATACATATATTAATATTAATATATTTATCAAAATAATTAGTAATCATATAAATTATGATGTATTATATCCTTGTCACAGGAAATAATGTATCAAAGATTTGCAGAATTAATCTATTTTTACAAAAGGTATGTCTTCTTTGGTTTTTTTCATATACATTTAAGAATTACACATATAAATATATATTAAACTGAACATACCTTTATTTTCAAACTGAAGTTGTCACTTTTGAATGCAATGATCCTTGTTAAAACTATAATATTATAAACTCCACACACATAATCTGTTATGAATATATTATTAATTTTACATCCATTGAATACTTCCAGTAATATTATCCATGATAAATGTAATCTCCAGTGCTATGACAAAGATTTCTTGTTTATCAGCTGATAGTTATATACGGTGAAGCTGTAAAAAGGAAATCAAATCTTACTTAATTAAGCATATATTTAATTGAACAACTCAAACTAATTAACAAATGATTTGATCACTTTTAATCCAGTTTGCTAATTAAAGCACATATTAATGTCACATATAAACATCAAAAGGATAGACAATACCACATTTATGAGTTTAACATTTTAAACAGGTGTATAAATTGAACTCTTTCTTGCACTAGACATAAATGAGACAAGTTAATCAATTTCAAAAATTCTTTTATCTAACTTTTTGTTTATTTATCAATCTGTTTATTCATATATTTACCATTTATATTTTATCTACATGTTACTTATTACTTTAATCTTGATGCTGTTTTGTCCAAATTAAACATGCCAAAAATTAATTACCAAACAGTCCAACCAAAACCTGGATAGTTCCTTTTTTCATAAATTAACAAAAACTAAATTTCAAAAAAATTATATTGGAAGAATTATTGGCATGCATAGGTTGAATTTATATTGGTATATACATTAAGGACTAAATATAAACATTCTTTATATACATTCCTTGGGGAAACAATCAAGTCTACATATTTAACCAAAATATATTCCAGGTCAAAGAGCAACTTAAATGTCTATTCTTTTTTTTTGTTGGAAATATAACAATGCAGACATGCATTCTTACTTGTAATTACAAATAAAAATACATAATTTTTCACCAGACAACAAATTTTATCTCTTTTTTTATAACACAATGCCAAAAATGTAAACACTGGTTAACAAAAGTTTGGAAAATGACCAACTTAATTCTGACATAAAAAGATGACTACTCCTCTTTTTTTGACAATTTGTCAGGTTTTTTGATAAATTTCCATACATGCATACAAGTGAGAGAGAAAAAAATGTTTTATGTTGAATAATCAGAGGAAAATATCTGCCTCAAACAATTAAAAGATTCAGTTCATTATTTCTTTCAAACTACAGCCAAATCCTACCTAATTCTCATTTACATCAACAAATTAAGGAAACAAAACAAACTTTTCTTTTGTGTACTTTATACAAATTATGACATCTATCTAAGGTTATTTATGAAATTAGCAATAAATGACCAAACATCTTCTCTTCTCTATGTGATTTATTAAATGTTGTCTTGTAATTTAGCCTTTTTTTAGGCGGATATGTTTAGAGCAAGCCATAAACAAATCCAAATGAAAAAAGAATTAAAAAAGAAAGAAAATGACGAAAGTCTGATAGTCATGAATTTCAGGACAATGACGTAACGTTATTATCTGTTTATGATGGAAGGAGATGAATATAGAAGAACAAAAAATGAAAATGAAAATCTAGGCCTATAACTTGCATTTCAGAATATTTAAAAAATACACATGTAACTTCAGCCAATAACCATGAAAATATGTGAAACTAGATATCATTGAGATGGGAGCCATCTCTGTGGGCCCCGCTGTGAATAATGTGTGGTAAAAAATTTGTAAATTTGTATCTTTATCATTGGACATGGGGTTGTCAAATGAAACCAAAGTTTTTGACCTTGACCTTTGACCTAGGAAGTTGTACATAAATTATGACACACCCTCTGGTGTTGGTTTATATACATATCAAGTATAAACTTTGAAATCATAACGGTTCTCAAGATATAGAGCGAACACAATCTTTACCATAGGACATGGGGTTGTCAACTAAAACCAAAGTTTTTGACCTAGGAAGTTGTACATACATTATGACACACCCTCTGGTGTTGGTTAATATACATATCAAGTATAAACTTTGAAATCATAATTCTCAAGATATAGAGCGGACACGATCTTTACCATAGGACATGGGGTTGTCAACTAAGACCAAAGTTTTTTACCTTGACCTTTGACCTAGGAAGTTGAACATACATTATGACACACCCTCTGGTGTTGGTTAATATACATGTCAAGTATAAACTTTGAAATAATAAAGGTTCTCTAGATATAGAGCGGACACAATTTGTTACGGATGGACGAACGGACAGACTGATCACTATAGGGCTGCCGCCATTCGGCGGGGCCCTAATAAATGTAAATACAAATGGGCAATAAAAAATGTGCAATAAAAAAAGTGCAATTTTTGATTAAAATTTAAAGTCAAATGTAGAATCATAATTATATTCTTCATTTTTATGGAATTTTCTAGGATACAAAAACTAGTTATCTTGATAAATTCTATAACATTTTAAATAATATAGAAAATTTCACATCTCTAACCTCTGTTCATTCTAATTCAAAGAACAGAGAACCCTTAAACTCCTGTGAAGGAAGGAAATGGACATACAGACAAAAGGAAAAAAGAAGAGAGATTCTCCTCCAAATAAGGCACTGGTATAGGAAAGAAATGAAAGTTTGTGAAGCTTGATACCACTGTAACAGATTTTTACTGTGGTTTAAACAATTATTCAACAAATATTGACATTACTTTATACACCTTGTGTGTATTCAAATAAATTCCAATGAAAAAGCAATCAATTCAAATAGGATTATCATATTTCTTTGATCTGTATGTTCAGTACAATGAGGGTCTAAAATACAATGTTTAGAAAAGGTCACTTAGAGTCAAAATACAATGCATCCATCCCCACCCTAATGACTACATGAAGACCTGGAATTCATTTGTTTATGCTTTGTTAGATAAACAACAATCTGTGACCCTTGTTTCTAAAAATTTGTAGTGCTATTTTATTTAAAAATTGTTTACAATTATAATATGAAATTTCAAGGGTTTGCAATGCCTGTACAGTTGTATATAAATTGATGAAAAATATAAGTAAATTGGAATCCTTTTTGCTTTTAGCTATTAGTTTCAGTTGATATACATGCCATCTTGAAACAATAACTAAACAACAGTTAGCTCTGATTGGTTGCTTATTGGTGTGCCTTAATAAGATTCCATTGGCTAGAATGAGTTATAATTTTGGGAGGATGATAAAAAGGGGAGAAGAAATAATATACAGATAATCTGACAGTATGGGTATTCGAGCCCTGATCAATGAATATGTTGTTGTAGAATAAGATATTGCTGGATAAGCTTTGACAGTCGAAATTGATACCAATGCATGCATGTATATTAAACCAAGTCCTCTGTGTACGTTTTTTTATATTTATATGAATCCATAATTGAAAAAAACATATTTCATTCATTGATTATTGATCTAAAAACTTAAGACTACTAATTAACACTCTGGTTTTTGTGCCGTAGATGATAGTAGATGTATCATCGTCACCTTGATAAACAAACACCACAGATTCATGGTGCATGTGAAAAATAAGTGATATGATAGACCATTTTTCTTTGTTTTTCTATTAAATTATCCTTTCATTACCATTAGTTTATTTAAAAGAAAGTCTATGTACATGTGCTTTATAACAAAACTTCAAGCATTCCAGCAAATAAAACATTTTCAACTTTGTTGTTAAATTTGAGTTATCATATGATGTTATAAACTATCACATTTAAGAATGGGTCTAAAACGGCACTTTAAAAAACAGTACAACAAAACAACCAACACACAAGTATATATCAGTAACCTTTGGAACATGGTTAAATTAAAGCATCAATTTATGAGTTACTGTAGCTGTGTACTGAAGGTGATGATGAAGTGGAGGGTATCAATTTACTCGTACCTGACAGAAGACTGAGAAGTAATCAAATTCATTGGAGAGAGTGAAATTAATCAGTCAGAATTAACGGCATTGTGTCAGTCTAATCAATGAGATCCGAATATAACCTCAATAATTTGTTATTTTATAACTATTTTATGTTATATTTTCCTTTCACAGTCCTGTATTTGTGACAGATAAAGGCTATTCCCTGTAAGGTCGCATTTTGCATCATATAACTGAATAAAAATATGAAACTGGAACCCTAAGAGTATCCACAAATAAAAAAAAAAAAAACCCAATACCTCTGAAAAAAAAACTTCTTTTTTCTCTAAAAATCACCAAAAAAAACCACAAAAATAAAAACTGACGTTAATTAACGATACTGCAAAACACCTTTCTGAAAGGTTAAACTTGTATACCTTTAATGTCACAAATGTGACCTTATTTATGACCTTTTAAAAGGGTAATTTCTGAGAATAAGGAAATAAAGAAATAAAGATAATTCCAGGTTTATCCTTTACTTTTATATGTACATACATCAACTATTTCATCTTGACTATTAATGAACAAGATAGAAATTTTTTTTTAAAAGCTTTCCTTTAATAGATGTTGAGCCATCATCAACCAAATAACCTTTCCTCAGTAGGATGTTAAGCCATCATCAACCAAACATTGTTACCTTTCTTAAATGGATGTTAAGCAGCAACAATCTTTTCTTAAATGGATGTTTAGCCTTCATCAACCAAACAACCTTTCCTTACTAGGATGTTAAGCAGCTATCAACCAAACAACCCTTCCGAGCTATTTTCCTAATGCTTGTATAAATGTTTTCTCAAGCATTGTAACTAAGATTGACATCTGCAATCAACAGTTAGGAGTAGCTTCAGCTTGTATAATGTTATTGGATGTTAAGTATAATGCAGAGTATAATGTATACAAGCTGAAGCCTCGCCTATCTATTGATTGCAGATGTCAATCTTAATTACAATGCTTGAGCAAATATTATACAAACAAAGTAAGCAAGCCAACCAAACCTTCAAACTACAAGCATAAGAAAAATAGCTCTAAGCAGCCGTAAACAAACAATCTTCCCTTTAATGGATGTTAAGCCATCAGCAACCAAACAACATTTCCTAAGTAGGATATTAAGCAGCCATCAACCAAACAGCCTTTCTTTAGTAGGAGGTTAGACCATCATCATCCAAACAAACTTCCCTAAATGGATGTTAAGCCATCATCAACCAAACAAAATGTCCTTAAATGGATGTTTAGCCATCATCAACCGAACAACACTTCCTTAGTAGGATGTTAAGCCATCATCAACCAAACAAAATGTCCTTAAATGGATGTTTAGCCATCATCAACCAAACAAAATGTCCTTAAATGG